TGCATATAAGGACTGGAGTACAAGCCAGAGGTGCGGGGGATGAGAGCATTCACCAGAGACAGAGTGGGGAGCAGAACAGGCAGATCTACCAAAATACACAGCTGAGGGGAGCAGCGGGCAGACAGGAGAGGTCTGCCGCGCCCTGTGCGTCATCTCCCTGGCCGGGGGTTGAACTCATGCTGCAGTGGCTGCGGACAGCTTCACAGTGCTGCGCTTCAACCCATCGTGCCACCAGGCCAGGCCCTTAGGAAACTTTTTGTTTTTTAATAATATAATAGTTTATTTATACATCATTTTGTGCCTTTTTCCATCTCAGTTGTAATCCCTGTGGGCCTCCCATCACCAAATCAAGAAACTATTTTTTAAGAGCAAACTAAAACGAGAGCAAGAAAATGAGGTACATCATAGAAACTCAAGTAGATATAAATTAAATGAAGAAGAGAATTTTAAAAAGCAAAAATAGGGAATCAGAAGCCTGATGAAAAACATAATATATATATGTAGATATAGATTTATAAGGTGCTACATATATATATAATGTTATAAATCGTTACTTCGATTTTTAAAATGAGAAAACAAGGCCAAAAGTTGATTCTTTAAAAAGATCGATAAGGCCCTCCCTGGTGGCACAGCAGGTTAAAGCACAGCACTGAGAAGCTGAAGCCACTTCCGCATGAGCTCTATCCCCGCCTGCTCCAGAGGTGACCCACATGGCGTGGCAGACCTCTCCTGGCTCGCCCGCTGCTCCCCTCAGCAGTGGACTTTGTCGATCTGCTGTTCTGCTCCCCACTCTGTCTCTGGTGAAGCCTCTCGCTGACCCTGAGCCTCTGGCCTGTACCCCAGTTCTATATGAACAAATAAATAAATCTTTTAAAAAATAAATAAATAAAAAGATCGATAAAACTGAAAACATTTAGCTAAAGTGACCAAGAAAAATAAGTCAAGAATGCTTAAAATCAGGAATAAAAAGGGACATTACTGGTGATTTTAAAAGGGAAAAATAAGCAAGTAATAATCATATTATTATTAATAAGCTAGATAACTTAGATGAAATTCCTAAAAAGATACAAATTATGGAGAGTGACTCAAGAAGAAATAAAAAATCTAAATAAACCTACAACATGTGAAGAAACTAAATGAGTAATCCAAACGACCCACTAAGAAAAGCCCAAACCTACATTACTTCATTGGTGAATTCTTTTCAACATTTAAGGAATAATTAATACTAATGCTTCACAAACTCTTCCAAAATAATAGAAGGGGAAAAACACTTCTCAGCTTATAAGCCTAGGATCACTCTTGTAACAAAGACATGAAAAGAAAACAATAAGCCAATACCACTCATAAAAAGTCTCAATAAGGGCCCTCCCTGGTGGCACAGCGGGTTAAAGCACAGCACTGAGAAGCTAAAGCCACTTCTGCATGAGTTCGATTCCCGCCTGCCCCGGAGGTGACCACATGGCGTGGCAGACCTCTCCTGACCCGCCCGCTGCTTCCCTCAGCAGTGTACTTCATCCATCTGCCTGTTCTGCTCCCCACTCTGTCTCTGGTGAAGCCTCTCACCGCCCCTGAGCCTCTGGCCTGTACCCCAGTTCTGTATAAACAAATAAATAAATCTTTAAAAAAAAAAAAAAAAGTCTCAATAAAATACTAAAAAACTGAATCAATCAACATATACTGCACACAATAATCGATGTGAGTTATGCCAGGAATGCACGGCTGGTTTAACATCCCAAAATTTATATATCATATCACCAGAATAAAGGACCAAACAGCATCATCATCCCAACAGGCACCAAAAAAGCATCTGAAAAAATCCAACACCCATTCATGATAGAAACACTGAACGCTGATTTAAATCAGGGTACTTCCTCAGTCTGATCATGGGAATGTATGAACATTCCAGAACCTGCATCAAAGTTCATTGGGAAATACTGGATGCTCCCCCCTAAGATGAACAAAGCAAGGATGCCTGCTCTCATCACGTCTATTTAATATTTTTTCTGGAAGCTAAATCCTGGTAAATTAGATAAAAATATGAAATAAATAACAACCAAATGGAAAAGAACTAAAACTAAAACCATTTGCACATTAACATGATCTTCTTAAGAGAATTCTAAGGACCTAACCAAAAAAAAAAAGTCTCGGCGCTAAAAAATTAGTTCAGCAAAATTGTAGGACACACTATACGAATATCAACTACATGTCTATAAACCTGCAAATAACTGAAACTGAAATAATAACACACCTAATAACATCAAAAAGAATTAAAAAAAAAAATACTTAGGGTGACAAACGGTATAAAACTGAAACTCAGAAAACTACAAAGCCGTGTTGAAAGAAATTAAAGTGACCTAAATAGGTGGAACTTCAAGTGGTAAACACATGTTCTTGGATAGGACTTTAAAATGTTGAAATAATAATACTTCCCAAATTGATCCACAGATACAACACAGTCCCTATCAAAATCCCAGCAGGATACAATCTTCCACTAGGACTATCGTCCCACCATAAACCACTCTGTAAATCTGCAGGAAGATAATAAGGGCCTGCGGAATGACACACAGACAATCCCTGACTCGATAAGAGACCGGACTCCTTTGGCTTTCTCCTGCCTTGCCCGTTTCCCACTGGAGTGCATTACACAGCTTGTTGAGTCTGCCTCCTCCTCGACTGCAGTAGCACTAATCTCCACCCGAATATGTGAATTGTTCTCCTGAGTAAAGTCTGACTTTGAAACTGCGCTAGATCAGTCTACTTCTCAAAGAAATCAAGAGACTTCCTCAACAATGAATAGAAGCCATATTATTTTAAGACAATCCAACAATAACCAGTAAGCCAACTAGATAACCTGCAAACCCTTCCTAGAAGCACCTAAAATCCTAGAATAAATAAAACAAAAATCCTTTAAATGAATAGCTTGGTTTACAAGAAACTACTCATAATCCTCAGGGATCGAAAACAAAGAGGCAGCTAAGCACCAGAGAGTATCCACTCCACCTGATACCACAGCTAATCTTGGAGTGTGGAAGAGGGAATCTCAACCTGGAGGACTAAATTTTAATCTCAGACAAAGAAAGGAATCACGTGTAAATTAGAGATTAGAAGGAAAGCACCCTACGTAAATAAGGCCAGGTTGTTCAAAGATTACACCCTCTGTGAAAAGGGGGTGGGGAGGAGCCAACCTACTAAGTAGGGAGAACACAAATACTTATTATCTGCTGTGGCTCAAAGGAAAGGTCCCCTCTGGAAATGAGAAACAGGGGCCTACTCAAGAGGGAGGGAGGGAGGTGGAGCAGGGGAGGAGAGAACTTTCCTTTTGTTTTCACTGCTATTCTCATAACTCAAGGATCTTCATACCAAGAAATATAAAAATAGTCTCGCATCAGTGAACAATCCATTGTGCGGAAGTGAGTAACAGAAATACCTGGAAACTTGAAATAATATGATGTTATAACAGAATCTTTAAGAAAAGAAAAAAGTTTACTCAAATCACATGAAAGAATGACTCAAATATGTAAGAAAAAGACAACGTGAAAAAGAGGCAGATAGAAAAAGGAAGAGTAGAAAGACAGCAAAGACGACAGAAGCAATTAATGACTAAGTCAGGCAATTGGCCCTCCCTGGTGGCTCAATGGGTTAGGGCGCAGCACTGCAAGCTAACTGCAGCCACTTCTGTGTGAGTTCGATCCCCGCCCCGGAGGTGACCCACATGGCGCGCCAGACCTCTCCGGACCCTCCCACTGCTCCCCTCAGCAGTGTGCCTTGTTGATCTGCCTGTTCTGCTCCCCACTCTGTCTGTGGTGAAGCCTCTCAACCCCCACATCTCTGGTCTGTACCCCAGCTCTGTATGCAAAAATAAATAAATCTTACCAAAAAAAAAAAGAATTTACAAGAACTGAGTATCTGCAATTCAAACTTTCTGCAATTTATTCATGAAAAGGACTATCTTGTTAGTAATATAAGCTATCACTGAAATAATCACAGTTGAAACTAATTATTAAAAAAGAAGTTAGAAACTTATAATCACAATAATCGAGTAGTGTATATGTAAAACAAATTTAACTGCTTGAATTAACTGCTTTTAAGTAAAAGATAAATCTTGCCAATAGATTTTGCCAATGTATTGCTCAAACTCAGTAAGATAAACTCATCACTTTTATTTTCAGAAAATTAGAGTAGTCTGTAATTGCATCCTTCTTTTTTTTTAAAGGAAGAGTCTTAACAAGGCAAAATAAGTAACCAGCTAGAGTAAAAAAATTCACAAAAATTGAAAATATCTTGTATTCAGTAACTATATGATAAAATCAGACATTACCTAGAGGCCCCATTATTAAAAGTAGTGGAAAAGAATGAAAAGCAGCAACAGTATATTAGCATAATTACTTGTTTTTCATTCCATAAGTTCCAATAATTTACATTCTTTTCCCATGAGATTTTTTTCTACCTATTCATAGTTCATTACAGCTAAAAGAAAAAAAAAAAAAAAAAGGCCTGCTATGCTGAAAGTCTCAAATGAGACAATAAAGCACTGGCTGTTTCACGCGATACCATCTTCTGTCCATGTCCAGCGAGCATCAGCCCACCTTCAGTGAGCAAACTTTCCAGCTGAACACGGGGAAGGTTTAGGAAGGCGAGACCAGGACAGCATGCCCTCAGGCTGAGGGCCCTGTCAGCAACCTGACAGACATCTTATTCATGTAACTTTGCCTTGCTTAAATCTGGTGTTAGCAGTGGGTCTAGCAAATATTTATTCTATTTTAGATTTTTAAAAACTCAGGAGTGCGGGAGGCGGGGGGGGGGGGGAAGAGGAGCAGGAATAATTAACACACAGTAAGACATGGTGATCCCCATATAATGTTTAATACAAATGAATAATTAGAGATATTCTTAAATTTTTTGCCCTTTTCAAGCCCTGCAAAATAAACCTACATCCTTCCCTTTTTTTCTGTGTGACACAAAATCAGGTGCTGATTCAAATAAAGCAAAAATATACTCACAGAACTTGCATCAACATCGCTGTGGATGGCAACCGTCTTAATGCCCATTTTCTTGCAAGTTTTAATAACCTATTTAAAAACACATTCATGTTATCTATTAACCGTGACTCATATTTAAAAGGATTTAATAACAATGAAATCCGCAGAGTAAATGGAAAATAAGATTAAAATTCTACTCACCCTACATGCAATCTCTCCTCTATTAGCAACAAGAATTTTATCAAATGTCTAAAGAGAAAACAAAATTGACAATGTTACTCTCATTTGGGACCAGAAAATATCAAGGTTTTCCACAGTGACCACTGGACATAACAGTAACACAAATGTAATTTCCTAGAATGATATCAAATACAAGGACAGATGTTCACCGAGAGTATGGCCTGGCTCTTGATTGTTCTGGTAAAGCATCAGCTGAGTAGCTTCAGTAATTCACAGTAAAGGGCAAAGGGATGTCATTAACTCTCCTGCCGAAAGATAATCTTCAAATAATATTTCAGAATACTAAAGTACTTTAGACAAAATTGCGTAACAATTTACTTGATCATTTATTTCCCAAATTGGGGATAATTTTTAGTGTCGAGTTGTTTATCAAAGGAAAGTCGGACATAAGTACAATTGATACGTCCTCTCTGCTGGGATGAGGCACAGCATGCAGTGATGGTTTCAATAACTCAAGAGATATCAATTATGCTTATATCCAAATATTCCCAGGCTAAGCATGTCATGTTATTTGAAAACAAGGTTAAGTTTGAATCGCCATCAAATTTTGAAGCAGCTGAGGCCGTATAATAAAAGAGTGGTTTCATTTTCTGTGGAGCTGGGGACCTACATTCTGTACTGATGACCTACGAGACCTTAAGCATCAATCTCTACCAGTCTTGATCCTGACATTTATAAACCGGTAGCATTTCAGTGGGAACCTATTTCATAAGGTTCTCGCCCTACTCTTCAGATTATATATACAGGCTAACCCTGTTAAAGAAATATATAATTGAAAGTAATTTGAATGCAAGACATTTTCATACACAATTATTCTAGGTCAGTGAATTGCTATAAATGGACTGATAAAAAAATTTTAGTCCTATTTCTAAAAGAAAAGTTAAAGTTATGTAACTGAAAGCAATATTTTTAACTCAACAGGGAGTCACAGAATCTCAGAATTGGAAAGAGCCTTCAAAGCCGTGGTTTAACCTTTATATCACACATGGCTTATTCCATCAACATGAGACGGGCCTCTGCCTCAAAAATTGGTTGCCTCCTAATTTGATAGACTCCTGAATCATTCAGCCTGGAACAGATGGGCCCTTAAAATATCCAATCTCGCCTCAGGCCTGAGAGTATAAAATCACCTGCCTTTCCGGAGAGAACGGGGCGCGGTAAACCCCGGGTAAACAGAAAGCGTATAAAACAACAATGCTTTTACTTTCTTGAGCTGTACCTTAATGTGGATTTGTATTAAGCCTCAAACTACTGATAACAGCAGTACAAGCACTGAAGTTACACACTTAGCGACTGTTAACAAATATAATAAAGCAAAAGCCCATCCCAGGGACTAAGAACCTAACCTGAGCTCTCGCCAAGAGGCAGAGGGACAATGAGGAGGGGCTGGAGCCCAGCACGGACGCACGCTCTCCCAGACCCGGCTCCCTGTGCGTCGACGACGATGGCCCCGGCGCCAGGCGGTGAGACCACGAAGGAACCCTCGATGTTCAGCGTGGCCCAGCACTGCCCAGGCCTCCACAGGCGTCGGCCGGCCCAGGCGGCTCCACACCCACGCGAGCGACTGCCAGTCCCAGGGAAAACACTGAGCTCTTGCACCTGACTCACTGTCGCTCCCCAGGGCCGAGAGGCTGGGCTGCAGGGCTCCCAGCTACCACGGGGGCGGGCACATCTGATGCCCTGAGCACCTGAGCCCAGGGCAGGAAAAGGAGGCTCATCCGCCTGCTGGCTGGGCAGGGGTGTCCTCCCCTGGACTGCGAGCCACACCGCAGCCTCCTGGGTCTCCAGCTCGCAGACAGCCGACAGTGGGAGCGCTCAGCCTCCAAGAGAATGGGCCTATAAACGTCCACCTACTAACATGTCCAACCTGCCGTCTCTCTGAAGAACCCTGACTAGTATCAGACTGTTAATGTATTACCACTGGAACACCAGCTCAGTAAAGCTGGTCACCTCGATCGCCCATACATCAGATTTTCTTGTCGATAAACAACAGGTATTTGTTGCTCAGCAATTTAAAGGTACAAAAGCGGAGACACTGTAGTGACACCCAGGGCCTTCCCCCAGACACCCAGACCACCCCTTTCTGGTCTGTTCTTCCAGACAGGCTGTGCACGAGAAAGCATACATGCAAATACATTTAGAACAGCTTTAAGCGTCTCTTCTGCACCACCAACAGCAACATCAAGGCCACTGATTACTTCAATGTACCTGTGGCACCATCACAGAATGGTGTGATGTCACTGATGTCAGAGAAGCCACGTCAGTGCTGAGGGTAGCACTGGAGAAGCGCATGTGACTTCTAGCGCAGCTCTAGCGAAAGTCACTGAGGGGGAGTTGTTGCAAATGCAGCTAGAGAGCAGAAGGCCAGGTAACGAAAGGACTTACACGCCTTTTTAGGAGCCAGATCCTGGCCCTGTGGTGTGGAGGGTCCCCTGTCAATTACTCTGAAGATTATTTCGGGGGAGGGAAAATGGTTCAAATAAAGAACCTGGATCCCTGAAGAAAGAGGGGATTTCAGATACCGTGAGGGAGCGATGCTCAGCATACTGAAGCTTCCTCTCTTGCCTGCCTTCCGTCTCCCCAGGCTCAGATCCCCACAGCAGGCGTCTAGACCACTGTAGAGACCAAGCGAAGCAGTGAGCCGAGGCAGCGGGCCAAGAGCTCACAAGCAGGAGAGACCGGGGTCTGCACCCAAGGCAGAGACGAGACGCAGCTTCCAGGGTGCGACGCCGAGAACTCCCTGAGGCACTGAGGCCGCTCGACGGCACAGGCTGGTCCCCGCGCAGGCCCTGGCGTGCACGGCCCCAGTCCGTCCTCCGAAACGCCCTGTAGGGGCAGTTCTGAGGATATTCCCACTTTACAAGAGGAGACTCCATGAGGCCAAACCCCCTGCGGACTCACTCACAGAGTTAAACAGCAGTGGAGCCGGGGTTCAAACCGGGTATTTGTGTCAGATCACCCCCCAGGGACAGGACCAGGGCAGAGGGAGCAGGCTTCAAGCCGGCAGCATGAACGCCCCTAAGACGATGCCGGCAGGCACCCTCCCTACGGGACCAGCTCACCCTAACTGAAGGCCCACTGAAGCCGCCTGGCCTTCTGCTAAGCCACCTACCGTTAAGGTAACTGACACCACCCTCCTAACCAGGCCCAGACAAATGGCCTTGTTAAATCTCAAATGGAAAACACTACTTTTCAAAATGATTGAGTATCACCTGGTTTAACTTGGATTTGATGAGAGCCACTGATAAATGTGGAGGCAAATTCAGATGATAATCCATGTAACAAGTACCTGTTACCAAAGAAGACTTCCCTTCCCTGAAGGCAGTGACATGAACAAACAGCTGAGTTACGTAATGAGCCCCAGGATCCCTGAAGGTAGAACTCCAAGTCCAACAAAGGGAAAGGCAAGTCTCCCCACTCGCTGTGAACACACCTCGCAACCAACAGGGGTCAAAAGTATCACTACTCTATAATGGACCAGGCGAGAAAATAACAAGAATAAGGAACAGCCATATACCAGAGACATTTTGCGGGGATGGAGTGGGGAATGGTATCAAACACGGGGGTGGGGGGTGGGGAGGGAAGCGCACGGGACTGTGGTGATGGCACACGGGTGACTTGCTGATGGGAAACCCACGGGGATTACAATTGAGATGGGAAAAAAAATGTACAAAATGATGTAAAAATAAACTGTTACAAAATTTAAAATAAATAATAAACTGTTATAAATAATTTTTTTTTAAATAAATAAGCTAAAAAAAAAAAGTATCACTACTCTTCGGGCCTCCCAGTGGCGCAGGGGGCTCGAGCTCAGCACTGTGAAGCAACGGCAGCCACTGCAGCTCCAGTTAGAGTCGCGCCCAGAGAGCCGGCCCACATGGCTCAGTGTCGGGGCTTTGTCAGTCGACAGAAGTTGCATAGCTGTGTCAGCTCAGCAGTGTCTCCCCACTGCGCCCCTCAGCAGTGAATTTCAGGCCAGAGATGCAGGGGGTGAGAGGCTTCACCAGAGACAGAGCGGGGAGCAGAACAGGCAGATGGACGAAGTCCACTGCTGAGGGGAGCAGCGGGCGGGTCAGGAGAGGTCTGCCGCGCCCTGTGAGTCACTCCCTGGGTGGGGATCAAACTGGTGCTGCAGTGGCTGCAGACAGCTTCACAGTGCTGCGCTTTAACCCGCTGCACTACCAGGAAAGGCCCTCAGCAGTGTATTTCAATCCGTCGGCCTGTTCTGCTCCCCAGTGTCTCTACTGAATCTCACCATCCCAGCAACTCTGGCCTATGCCCAGTTCTTGTACGCATAAAAAAATAAAATAAATCTTTTTTTTTTTTTAAGAGTATCACTACTCTTGGTGTATAACGAGCTACATTTCTCCACATTCACCTTAGGCAAAAGCACGAGGCAGCAGATGTTGGACATTTACTACAAAGCATGCACCTGTTCAGGGCCTGCTGAGGGGAAGGGGCCCCTGAACAGTCCAGAAGCAGGAGTATTATGTGCTGACTTGTTTGTAACGATTATCAATGGTCGCCACGGTGGCAGGAGAGCTGGCAATTTCCACAACTTTAGCTGCGAGTTATACCAGCGAACTGCCACAGATAGAAACATACCTAGAGGACAGAAAAACAATCTCAAAACCTGCTTGAAAAGCCAGAAAGCGTCAGCTCTCACCCTGTCTTTGTAACGCCCCAGAAGGGTGCGCGCCAGTCTCCCCGAGGGCGAGTGCCCGGGTATTCTGACGAGGCTGGTGGTACTGCCAGAGTCAACCGCAGCCTTTCAGAGCAGAGCGGGGACCCAGGCCACCCAGTAAACAAGCAGCCCTGTGAAGCGACGAAGCACTTCAGGTGTGGCTCACCAATGTGACGTGCAAGAAGTATCTCTAATAAAAGGTATGAAAAAAGTATCTCATTGACACTTGTCAGTTATATGCTGAAATAACATTGTAGATACTGAATTGAAAGAGTATTAAAGTTTTAGCCTTTTTTATGTGGCTAGGAAATTTTTTTAGCTGCAGATTTATTTGTTCGCTGGCTCGTTCATTTGCTCGCTTGCGTCTGCCCCCAGCACCCACCGCCCGGTCTCCAGTTCACCCTCCTCCGAGTCCCTTGTGCTCTTCCTGCCCTCACCCTGGCCCCTTCCCCTTTCCGGCCCCTGCAGAGCAGCTCTGATTTGTAGTTGTCTTTTTATTGTTGTTTGGTTTTGTTACTGTTATTTTCCCCATGGTTCCTCTCTTGGTTCCCCTATATTCCTTCTGCAAGTGAAACCATCTGATATTTTTCTTTATCCTTCTGACGTATTTCACAGGAAATTTTGTATCGCGTAGGCCCTGCATCATTGCTCACTGAATTGCACAATGCACATCATTTCTTTCTCCAAACTTCCTGATTCTTTTGAATAGTTCTGTATCGTCAGCATAGATTTAAGTCATCTCAACGATTTCATTCTCAAATAATCCTGTCAGTTCTATTTTCACACTCACCTTGAACCATCTTAGCCAAAACTGTCCCTGAGGAAGTGCTCAATAACCACCCTGGTGCATCTCACTAGGGCAGACTCGCACTCAACACGTGAGTCCTGTGATGTGTTCACTGTCCCTAGGTTTCGGCTCTGATCACTACTTGCTGTCCTTTCAGCTCAAGGCATGAACTTTATCCTATAGCAGAGTGCTAATTATTTGCAATTCCCTGGGCCTAATATCTACAAAACAATGGATTGCCTTCAATCAAAATGAATTACATTGATAGCAATTAAAGTCATAGTTTTTCTCAACTGCCCAGGCTTTAAAAACGAGTGTCACATTGGTGATTCTGATAAAAACAAAGGAAACCCAAGCTGTAAATTTACTCACTTTTTAGTATAGATACAAAGTTAATGACACTAAGGTTGTGACCCAGAACAGAAAAGGGAGCAAGGATTGAAGATTAACACCTACAACATCGATGATGTTGGAACAGTAATTACACAGCACTAAGAAGAATACAGTGGGGAAAGAAAAAGTAAAACCATTGTAGCTATTGAAAGCACTCTTTAAAGACTTACTTTTTCATTAGGATCATATCCTGCTGACCCGAGACTTCGGGATACCACTAAGTGCAGTCTTGAGTAGTCTGGAACATGCTGCAAACAACAAAAAGGAAAATAAATTACTGAACCGTGAAAAGGCTTTAAAAATATCTTTTCAGGGCCTCCCTGGTGGCCTACAGGCTAAGTCTTAGCACTATCACCTTGATGGCCTGAGGAGCTGATCCACAGGGCGCAGCAGACCTCTCCTGTCTCCCCGTCTCTCATGGACCCACCAGTCCTCCTCCCCACTTTACCTTTGGCCTGCACCCCAGTTCTATGCAAAAGTAAATTAATAAAATTTACAACACATATTTTAGGGTAATTCTTCCAGCACGCACCTGGCCACACACCGCACAGGACTGGATACAGCCTGAGAGCCCTGGTTTTCAGAGAGGTTCCAATTTAGAGAAAAAAAATATCCAGAGAAAAAAATTTTATTTGCAGATGTCCTTATTGTATTTTTTCTGATACAAAAGTAACTCAGCAGATAAAAGTTAAAAGGTGGGCCCTCCCTGGTGGTGCAGCGGGTTAAAGCACAGCACTAAGAAGCTTAAGCCACTTCAGCATGAGTTCGATTCCCGCCTG